ATTTATTTATTTTATTTATTTTTTATACTTTTATTTATTTTTTATTTATCCATACATATTTCTTTACTTTATTTTATTTCTCCATACTTATTTTTCCGAATTTTATTCTCTGCCACTGTAAATACAAGATCACATCGATCACGAATAACGATTCAATAAATAAGTTCTTTACTCGTTCCACTTATCGCAACGCTCATGCTAATGGAACGGGTGATAGCGTCATTGCGAGCGTGAGTGTTACGAGCGTTATGTGGAACGCACCCTGAGTGAAACGGAATACACCCTTCGTCTACTTCGAATCGATATAATCCAAACAACACCGAATCCGCATGACATGTATCAGAAACCAAACAGTTAAGGCCATCACACGTAAAAAAATTTTAGTTGTAATCGTAAGGCCGTAAGCAAATCGGCCAATCACAGTTGAGCGTTTTAAAACGCGAGATCGTAATTTTTATTGTGATTGGTTGATTTGCTTGCGATCTTACGATTACGACCAAAATTTTTGTACGTGTGGTGGCCTTTAAAGCTGGTTCTACATAAAGCTGGTTCTACATTAGTCGCATCGCAATGTCAAGCATGTCGCAAGCGTTATGATCCAACCAAAGTCGAACTAGCTTGATGTTGATTGGACCGCAACGCTTGCGACGCTGCGATGCGACTGATGTAGAATCAGCTTAATGTAGAACCAGCTAAATATAGAACCAGCTTCATGCGGGGTCTACAATAGAAGTCGTAGCGGTCGTAGAGTCTTAAGTCATAGAAAATTGATCAATCATAGTCGATTATTCTTTTCATATTCGACTGTGATTGGTTAATTTTCTATGACTTAAGACTCTACGACCGCTACGATTCTATTGTAGACCTCGCATTAAGTTCCAAAAGAAAATTGTGGCAATTGCAGACACGTGTCAGTCATAGATTTAATATATATTAGGGCGGAATCCATAGACGGTGTTCAAGATTCGAGATGGTCTTAATTCAGATTCGAGTATTATTTCATTCTTGCGTTTATTGGGTGTTTTTTTTACTTTATTGTGTAAATCAATTTATAATTTATTTAATTATATTTAATAAATTTTTTATTTTTAATCTATTTTTTTTATTGATTTTATGTTTTGATTCTTGAATAACTTAGACTGAAGTACTATTCAATTTAATATATGTTCTTATGTAATAATTCTTATTATTTAAGGAGAGGTTGGAAAAAGTCTTAGAGAAAAAGGCTAATTGTTTTATGCTGAAACGAAATGTGTATTTATTTTTTATCAATACAGCTTTGTACTGACATATGTGCAACATAATATTTTAATGTCATCTGAAGTATAATAGACGATAAATGACATTAAAATCTCTTTAATAGCTCCAATTAGATTTTCTTGCGGAATTTGGTTTTATTCGCTCAATGGTTATGGTCGCCCTTGGGATGGAATCGCTTGAAACATCTAAACAAATTTCTTCCCTTTTGGCAACCAGTTCCCTCTGAAATAATTTCCATATTTTATTTTATTTTTATTTGAGAGAGAGAAAACCGCCATGAGATTACAATATTGGTTGCTTTCCGATATTCACTGGCTGCGTTCAACAGAGAAAACTAATCAGTTAGCGCTTAGTGATTTTTATCTTTAATACGATTGGTTCCACTTAGATTTAGCGAAGAACTAAAGGCAAAGAACCAATCATATGAAAGAATCACTAAGCGTTAACTGATTAATTTGTTCTGCAGAACGCAGCCACTGTTAGCTAAAAATCTATAGCGCACGTAATGCGTACTATACTATAGATTTTCAGTATTGGCAGTGAATATCAGAACACAGCCAGTCAGTTCTATAAACGGATAAAAATTGATCTTGTGTGTGTGGCTCTTAAATTCATGTTATACTTACCAACTTTTTGACATTCGGTAATCATTTGTTCGATTTTTTCTTCTGATACACCATGTTTTGACATCTGAATACGAACTTCGTCGTAATTAACTGTTCCATCCTCAGCCAACTAAAACACAGGGATAGAAATTAATTTCTTGTTAATTTATTTTCTTAATGTACATTATATACAGGGTACCCTGAAATTTGAGGGTGATATATTATTACAGCGTGAAACTTTGTAAAAAAGTAAGTAATAAAAGTATATGCTATTTTTTCCCATAAAGTAGTTTTTTAAATATAAACGTTTAAAGTTTGACTAATTATAAGTATTGATTAAAAAGTCAGTGTGCATGCAGCGGCAATGTTTATTTAGTATCTAATACCACTGAACGTCAAATGGCACTTACACAGACAAATGACTTTTTAACTAACTCTTATGATTATAAGTCAAACTTTATACTTAAAAAAATTACGTTACGGAAAAAAAAGTCTTACATTTTTATTATTTAATTTTTCGCGAAATTTCACGCTGTAATAATGTTATCCTCGAATTTCAGGACACTCTGTATATGTAAAATGTGATACGAGTCTCGCATACAATTCCTAATTTCTTTAACAAACAGGTACTGAAACAGGCTAAGTTTTCGTCATTTTCATCTGCTTCCCCTTTCTTTAATTTTTCAAATATGGCTGAAATTTTAATTATTATTAATGTAATTATTTATTTAAGTTTTTTAATCAGGCAGTTAATTTATTCTTCACTTACCTGGATCGATGTTATTTTCAGTCATACATTCGTTCTTATTCCGTTCAAAAGTTGTCTTTTCTTCTTCTGTGAATTCACCCTACAATCAAATAAGCATTTGAGTATTATAATTATTATTCATATGTTAATGTTATGTTTAATAATTAATGCATTTTTAATGTGCCTATTTGATGTTTCCAATTATGTTAACAATTATAAAATATTTTCATAATACATCTTGTAGAAGTTAAATAAATATATTTTAAGAAAGAGAGAGAGAGAGAGAAATAATACGCAATCTAAAATTATAGAAAGAAATTAGAGAGCTTTGGCAAATAGTTTTAAAAACGTATGTGAATTAGTAAATTTGATAGAATTGAAGTAATAATAAAAATTAATTATACTAAAAATAAGTTGCAGAATATTTTGTAGAGAAACAGATTAAATAAATTATTAGCAGAAACATAATGAAATGATCTTACCAAGACGGCGACGAAAGAAACAGCGAGCAAGATAACGATTGTTTTCATTTTGATTTTTTGTTTCAACACGATGAAATACAAGCCCGTGATCAAAGAGTTACTGACTAATCACAAGATAGTATCCTAAGCTTTTATAGTTTATGACTCTCCTTGATTCCTTCTCTAGCATCATGCGTGGGGGAGTACCCGAATTATATCCATTATTCTTTCGAGGTAGCAACATATATAAATCGTCGCACTAATAGCAAAAGTACTATGTATGTATGTTTCGAGTCTTGAAATGTTGCTATTATGAATATAATAGACATGGGCGTTCACGGAGAGGGGGGGGGGCAAGTTGGGGCATTTGAGGGTCGAGAGACTAGTGTTGAATAAAAACGCGTGTTGGAGGGGTTAAAATTTAAAAATACAAAAATACCCTGGTGAAAAAATTTCGCTGAAAGTATTCTACGTTTTGGAACATTTCATCGAAATTGCTGAAAATTTGCTGAAATTTCACTGAAAGTGAATTTTTCAATTAACATATTGAAAAATCGCTGAAATTTCTCTGAAATTTTTACTAAAATTTGTCTGAGATTTTGCTAAAATATTTTACTGAAAATGAATTTTTCAACTAAAAATCGCTGAAATTAAACTGAAATTCTTCTAAAATGTTGAAATTTTGCTGAAAAATGTTCCAAAACGTAAAATAATTTTTCAGAGAAATTTTTCCATCAAGGTACAAAAAAATAAAAAATAATTTTTAACAAAAAACGAAATATCTTCCTCGACATACATCTACCTTGTCGTAGTGAGGAAGATTTTAACTAAAAAGTAAAAGGTGTACACATTAGAAATGATAAGTGACGAAAAAAGTCATTAACTCGACACTTGCACTGTAAGAATTATAAGGTCACCAAGGAAGGAAATATTTGAACATTTTTTCTTTACGTGTGGCAAGACTTCCTCCCCCTTAGAAAAAATCCTATGGACGCTCATGATAACAGACAATGAATACTAATAGAAGGGTAATTTTTTAAATATACATATAACACTTGTTATATACACATCATGTTTGAGATGTTTACCAAAAACAAAAAAGTAAAAATAGTATATTAAATAAGAAATTTGAATTTTTATTCCAATTATAGTAACTTACTACAAACTTCCATAAGATGTTTGTAAGATAAAAAAATCAATGAACATGAATACTATAATAAGGTCTGTATTCATATAACCCACATAACAATATGTGTTGTTATCAAAAAGATTTCTAAAAGATATCTCATTTTTAAATCTGATAACTTAGAGAAATTTCTAAAAGGTCACATAAAGATATTTGAATGTTATTTATAATGTGCCGTTTTTTGAGAACAGAAAGGTATCACAAAAATGATACCTAAAAGATTTCTCAAATTGCATGCCTTTATGATATCCAAAGTATATTAAAATATAGAGTTCGTATTTATGAAGTATAAAAGAAGTCTGGGGTGAGTCATTTTAAGTGACAGATCCAAATATCTCCAAAAATACGCCAGATACAAAAAAATGGTTTAGACAAAAATTGTAGAGGACAACGGGGAACATCTAACTGTGCTAACAGTTTTTACCTTCAGATCGATTTTCAAGGTTATTTGAAGGTCATGATCATTTTTT